TTTGTTGTCCATCGTAAGTTCCGGCTCTTCATTTTGTATACGAACGATAGATTCGTGACTTACCTCGGTACTTAACTATCAGAGGCTACACTCCTTCCCCTGATGTGACGAACGCTCTGTTTACGACGACTTTCGCCTGTGCCTCAGTCGCGCCCGGGCTAGCGACATTGACCAATATTTGGTCCGCCCCGCATGGAGACTCCCGGACGGATACTGTTTGGCCTATCACCGTTCCAACTGGAGCGGTTACGCCGACTGCGGTCCTTAACAAGCCCACTGTGTCGGCGGTGGCTATACCTATTATGTGGGAGAGCACCGATTCAGAGGTTGTATCTTGGTTCAACAGCTATCAATCAAGTTCGAGCCCGGCGATAATTACCTCCAATCCAAGTCATTTGACGAACACATCTAGTCCGGTTACTACAATTACAATTCCCAGTTCTCCTAATTCTACCACTACCAAATCCTCTGAGGCAACGAGCATATGCACAGGAGCTAGGTTGTCTGTGGCTGTACTAGGAGCCTTTGTGCTTGTTTCTTGTTTCATTCTATGAGGTTGAGGATAATGGGACCTCAGGTATCCATCCGAGCTATACGGGCTTGCAAAATTCACTAGCCGTCGATGGAGAACGTCACTCCTGACGTAAGATTCTTCTATTTAGGTGGATATCATAGTATAATACATTCATAGGCGTTATCACTGGACTGACTTTATGAGTTGCCGGTGTAATGCTTCTCTAGATCGGCCTATGCATCTGACATACACCTCGCCGGCGGTCAGCTGCAGCTTCGTAACGCGTATATAGTAGCATATGCGTAAGGGTTCGTAGGCCATATATGAGATAGCTTCAGCTTCAATAGTCGTACATTGTAAATTAGCACCGAGGCTTAGATCCACCCAATTGACGAAGTATGCCATGGACTTGTGTTTGTTGCCTTAATTCACTAGGTACAAGCGTATCGATACCAAATCCAAACGTGTTGATTATATCTGGACTTTGGACGAATTTCAGGTATCGGCCCGAACAAGAATCTAGGTATAGGGTAATAAGCGGACAACGAATTTTTGATACTAGCAGTCTGTATGGCCCAACTGCTCTCCGCCGAACATATAACCAGTAGTCTTCCACTCCGGCGATAGGATGTCGACCCCTGACCTCTTCTTCGAAGTACACGGACGATGCACCGGTATGATTGCAGTAAACTACTTGCCATCCTCCTGGCGGAGCGGTCTAAAAGTGTCCTGGCATTGGACCTCGCTATTTTTATTCGCCACGTAGTCTCTGCACAGAGCCGTTGCCGGTGCACTATATCTCGCATTTCCAACTTTGACTTATCCGACTCCACACCGCAGTAGCTCTTCCTCATCGGCACTTGCGGATTCGATCAGTAATCTCAATATACTATATTATAGGCGGAAAAGAGTTTGCACCGTGTTGATAGGGCAAGGCAGGTTGTAATATCAGAAACTCATTTAATACCTTCCCCCATATATATATGCTTTATAGTTGCTCCCCTAAAGACCCTATCAAAAATAGTAATTATTAGTAAATAAAGCTTTATCTATTATAAGGCTATATAGGCTTGGGAGTAATCTCTACTAATTACTAAATAACTTTAATAATAATATACATAAGACTAGATATAGTAAAAATAGGTTTCACCCCCTCTCTAAACTATATCTATACTAATCACCACCTTGTTTAAATAGCATCACCTACATGGGCACCCACCTGGGTGTTAACCATATTCAAGCCGCCACACGCCGGCCAGTTAGTAGTTGGATGGGTGACCACTAGCAAATCCCAGCTGTTGTATGTTTTTTGTTCACTCATTCTTTTTGATTTGTTGGTTTAGCGCCCTCGCCGCCTTGTCTTCAGGCTGTCACCTGAAGCTCCCTGAAGCCCTCTAATTCACCCGCCAAGCCTGGCATGCTGACGTGTGTCCTTTTAAGTCCTTGGAGATAGGAAGTTTGGCTCGTGTACACCTGTCATGTTAGCTTTCCTTTTTCGCAGTAGAAAAAGTAATAAAGGAGATCTAGCAGTATAAAGCTTGTTATATAAAAGAGAATCTGAAGCGAAACACCCATCGCGGGTGGCCTATAGCGGAAAGGAAGGAAGGATGGTTAAATAACAGATTTTTAGAGTAATGCAGCTAGAGCTAGTCTAACAGACTACAAAGCAAACATTCATTATTCAGGCTCCTAGTAGACCCGCTAAGGCAACATAGATGCCCTCTTTAGCCTTGTGTTGTATACTGTCAGACCTGTCACAGGCAAATGTTAAATTCTGGTCAGGAGGCACATTTGGTTGCTTCTTATTTGTGGTCATCTTGAAGTGGCTCATGTTCTAGACCTGTCATAGGAAGACATTACAGTTTGGTCCAATAGCATGTTTTGTTTGCTTCCAATTTATCATGTTCACCTCAAAAATGCCTCACTGCATACTGATTGTTTGTGCATTGTATTTATGCTACATAGTTAGGATGAACTGCGATACTCCCCACTTAAATAGCCCTAAGTCTGCACTTCAGACACAATATATGCTCTTTTTCACACACTCTCAAAATCTGACATACACTATAATTAAACTACGCTGATAAGGCAGCAGTCAAGCAGAGGGAGGTTTGGGTTGTATGTATATAGGTAGCAGAACTGTTTGCTCCTTTGCAGGGATACACAAAAACGCATCCAAGGAAGAGGGAGGCTGGCTAAGAACAGGGCTTTGCGCCCCATTACCACAAAGTCCAATTGTCTGTTCACACAAAAAGCAAACCTGTGCTACTTATGAGTCAGTTCTATTTTAATTGGAAGAAATCGATTATCATGTAATTATCAGTTAGACCAATACAACTCTGGGTTGCCCTGCATCTTACATGCACCAAGGCTACACGACACTGGATGGCGACATTGATATAAACTGGAGGGTTGAGTGGTGAAAACTTTTGAGTCTTCATCATCTCTAATCCTGAACGTTGCACCAGCACAAGTTGTTGAACCCATGATATACTCTCAGATCCCATCAGAAACGTCCAAGTCGCTTGGAGTGCCAGAAAGACGATGGTACTGTGACCAGAGTCATGTACTCGCTCTACTGGGCTGCATGATATGCTTTGTGGTTTCGATCCTTGCTATCCAGCCTACGATCGGGCCCACATGGAGCCTGTCCTGGACTCTAGGGTTGACTAACCAGCTGGTCGTCATTGGATTGTTGCTAAGCCTGATGAATGAATGTACCGGCATTCTTGCGCCGACATTCTTCCTCATTCTCGAGACCCGACGAACGAGCCCGACGTTGCAGAACTACGAGGCCATTATCAAGAAGAGTGTGTTTCTGGATAAAGCAGACGTACGCTGGCGTGCATGCTTCCTCCTCCTCACCCTCCTCCCTCTGGGACTCAGTGTGGCATACAAGAAGCTCATTGGAGGAAGCAGCACGATAGAGATCCAGAGCGACTTTCCACGGTTCTACGGCCTCGTGCCGCTTCCTCTGGGCACATTTAACGTGATGAACAATTCGATCTATTACATGATCAATGCAAGCGTTCCGTACATAGCGGCATCTTCAAGCGGTCGTTCGATTCCGCAGTTCCCAGCCGTGTACGGATTTAACACGGTCCTCCTGGACAATACGTCCACGGCCTTGCTGGACTTACCTTCGCCAGACTTTCTCTCTTCTATTCAGCAGAACCTGACCGACGGTGAATCTTGGAGCATGTCAGCGGCTGTGGATGGAACAGTCGCCCGATACAATTCATCAACATCGTCCTATAAAGACAATGATGCATTTTGGACCGCTGCTTTCAACCATTCCTATAACCCCACTGGTCTGTCGACGATCTCCCTCTACAATGGCTATCAAATGGGGATGATTAATGGCTTGGACAGCTTGCATAGTGAGAACCCGGCCCCGTATTGTCTGATTGGCTTCTTCAAGGGAGATGCATACGGGCTGCACATCTACAGCAACGCTACTGAATCCACCAGTCTCGCTTTCAGAAAGAACACCTACAAGTTCGACATCCAGCGAGAAAAGTGTCAAGCACAGTGGACAGTGACCCGCAGTAGCATCCAACTGACCAGTGGCCACTGTACTGGAGAAAGGACAAAGCAAGTCGTTTTCAACAGCACCACGCCGTATTACGCCGACACGCTGCCTCTGTTGGCGACATGGTTGATTCGGTACTCCCCAGCACAATCCCAGAGTCAGTCGCCGTGGCTGCTCCCATCATTGACGACCTCCGTTGCAAGCAAGTTCTGGGCTCGCATCATCTACATGGATCCGACAAACAACGTGTATCCCGAAATGTACTATCCCCCAACTAGCGAAACTATCCATTCAACACGGTTAACCCTTAAGGCGAACTGGGGTCTGTACCTCACGCTTTGCATCAACCCAGCCCTCTGCACGGTGATGCTGCTTTCGATCTGCTTCTGCTACAAAACCCCCATCGGCACGGGGTTCGGTTTGATCTCCGTTTTGTCGGGCGTCCGAGGAGATAATCTGGACCAGCTGCGGGGCGCCGGTTTGTCAGGAACTCTGACAAGGGCAGTTCCGATAAGAATCGTTGTCCAGGATTCATCTCGTTCCAATCCGAGGATTCAGTATTCATTGGGAGACGGGCTTGAGGCCACGGGCGAGTTAGATATAAAGGAGACGTACTGTTAGACCTGTTTCTTGGAATTTGAGGGCAGGGTATCAGTACATTGAGGATATCTTCGGAAACGACAAGATCAGGATCATCTAGATCATTTGCGCGAAATATTTAACAAGTTTGACTGTGGAGAAGCACGTTTTCGGAAAAGAGAAGGTCTGTCAGCCGTTGACCAAGCCGTTGTACATATACACTGCTGAGTGACTTGGCGTGGCCACACTATCAATTGACTCAGGAATACTCGAACAGTGTGCAGCAAGCACTTTGACAATACTTTTGCTCTGCTTCGCAGACACGTATATCCCTCAAGACAGACCATCAATCATAATCATCATTAAACAGCAAGGTTAAACAGAATCATCTCTTCCAGCCACAGCCACCTCAATTCGCTGAGAATTTGACTTGACTTTCTTCACATCCTCATCCTCATCCTGTTCGCCCTCGCCTTGCTCTTCACCCTGGTCCTCAAGAAGAATAACCTTATCACCAAAAGACGCGTCGATCTTCTCCAGAGTCTCCTTCTTCGTCTCACTGCCATCATATCAGTACAATTCCAGCAAGTAGCATCCATCAGTAACGGATACTGCATCACTCTTCTGGCGAAGGATGACAACGAACTCGGACCAGACTACACCTTACTTATTCCTGTATCTCAACCGCGGCTCAACACTACATCGAGATCGTCGCTTGATCAGACCGCAATGCAAACAGCAGATTTGCTGCAGAGAGAGCAGATGCAGGAGCCATCAACTGACGCTTCCATGGCGGATCAATATACGGTTGTTAGTCTCGGAAGGCATGGCGATTATTACACTTTCTCCCTTGGTTCCAAAGCGGTCGCGAAGCATAAGAACGAGTGGAAGGGGAAGCATGGTTACCTGTTTCACGACAGCTTAAAAGTGAAGGCCGAGATGCCACAATCCACGCCCGCTCCAAGTTCAACGGGTACTTCTCAATACAGATTTGTTGGACAATTATCGGAGCATCAAGTGGATTTTCGGAACCATGCCGGGTCCCCTAGCGAGCCAAAGGAACAATGGAAAGTTATCGGCGATTATTGCTATCACGATGAGAAAGGATTTCAAGGGAAGAAGCCTTTAAGCAAAAGGCCTTGAATAGCAAAAGAGGGTTTGGAAGCATTTCAGTTGCGTCTTCATATTCGACTCTAGCGATGATCTCCTAAATGGCTGCTTTCGTTTTTGGCAATTTGGATCTCGTTGTGCCAATATATTCAACATATGCTTGCGATGATTCCTTCAGAGTCCAGACTACTTTCTCTTACTTGCACTGCCTTTAACATCACAAGTTGATTGCTAAGCCTGCCTTGAAGCTGGTTTCCTGAACCAGGTTTGCTTTCGTGCAAGGCCGAGACAATTCGAGGTTCAGACAGTGAGTCAGATGAATTTATGGCTTATCTTCCGTTCAAAAGCGAAATTCTTTTCTGAAAAGAAACAATATCCATGCAACCGTTGTTCATTGCGCAAGGAAGATGAGTATGGCTAGAGAGAATAGCATAGAATGGATAGTGAACAAGAAATGATGAATGATGAATAATTATGCAGAAGAAAGGCTGTATGAAAGGATCAAGAAGATAAAAGGCAAGAAGAATAAAGGGGCAAAGATGCATATGTGGTGTAGTAGAATGCTGAACCATGCCAAACCAGCCCACAGCTTATTTTACCTTTCCAGATTCCCTGCAACACCAAACACCGCTTATATAACAAAGCCAAGCCCAAAGGTGCGGAAGATGAGACGAAGATTGTAAGTTGGAAGAAGGGAGAATAGAAACGAGTAATCGCCGTCAAGGAGGGTATCAGGGGAAGGGGGTATCTCAAGCAACAGTTCGGATGTCGCGACACTCGCTTTTTGGTTCATTTTCTTTCCTCGCGCAGTCTATACGCACGTTTGCATCACAAAACGCCGCCGGGTAGGTTGATCTGGCCTTGTCTGCCCTCAAAGCCTGCGCTATTGGGGGCAGAGCCCCCGCTGGTGTAAGCGTTGTCAATGGGATGCAGCTGTTTTCGTAGCATGAACATCGGTTTTCTTCCCTCCTTCTCGAGTTGCTTGAAAAGAATAAGCGGCCGCTCCTCAAGTCCTAGACATCGCTCTTGATCACCGTACACAATGTACAATGCATACTGCTTCCAGTCGGCATTGATATTGTACTTTTTGAGTGCGGCGGGAAGAACCTTATGACAAGGGTCATCCATCGAAACACGGAATGACTTGAAGATTTCGACACTAGGTGGATCTGCACCCGCTCGGGAATCGGACCGTGTGGGAATATCAGGGCGTGACGCTTGTGTCGGGGTTGGATTCAACCGATCGGGACGTGATTGCGCCGTCGGAGTATCTTCCGGATGATCATAGCCTGTGCGACCCGAATTCGGTTGCGTGTAAGAACGTGATGCAAGCGTCTGATGAGCACCGTAGTGAGCACCAGGAGACGTCGGCGATGGCATGCCCGGTGACAACTGTGGTTTGCCATTCAAGGCGCTCAGGTGGGACGAATTCGCGGCAGCAGAAGGATCCAGTCCACCGTTGTCATTGTACGGTCGTCCTTCATGTATCGATGGAGGAATATGCGTAGGCGAGCTGTTTTTCGGTGTGGAACCCCCAGTGTAAACGCGCTTGGAGAAAGTCCGAGAGATTCCGGACGCTGCACGCTCAATCAAAGTGTTTCCAGAGGGCGATACGAGGGTTTGGCCTTCGTAGTGGCCATCGGCTCCGGGGCCCGCCGATGATGGAGGGGGCAGTGGTTGTGATCGATCTTTGGCCATTTTGAAGACAGGAAGAAGCTCTTCGCGAAGCCGACGATACTCCTCTGCAACGCGCCGCAATTCAGATTCAACGGTGACGATCTTTTCATCCCGTAACCGGATCGATTGTATCAAACGAGCAATATCCTCTTGTGTGGCCGTTTCGTTCATGCTTTGGTCGGCCGCTGCAGGACAGTTAGAATAAACACCCACATCAGCATGGAAGGGAACCTACAAAGAGGTATGTAGTGGTCAGGGTCGAGAGGAATGTCTTGCTTGACTTTAGTCTCATATACACTTTTCAGAATGGTCAATCGGTGGCCAACACTGGTGATACCCATTTCTTTCAATTCCTCGTGTTTGAGCGCAATCAGTGCTTCGCCGACGATTTCGTTCTCTACAACGAGTAAGCAGGTTAGTAGGTTTCCCACACTGGACAACCCTGTCTAGTGGTCCCAATTGTTCTGTTAGACGGCCAACTTACCAAGAAAAGTTGCGCAGTACTGACGGAGGCCGAGCGCGGCCAGCCAGTTTGCGCATTCCTCAGCGGTCCACTCTGTGATGATAGTCTTCGGTGATCGAGGGTCTTCCTCAGGGTTTGCAAATGTCCGAGGAGTGTGTTCGGCTGAAGGGAATTCGGAGTCGGACGGAGAGGCCTCGGAGTCGGTCGCTAGATGAGGGGAGGTAATAACACTGCGTTCGTACTCATCGTCCGCGTCGGAGTCCGCGTGATAGGACGTATGGAGAGACATGTTTATGGAAAGAAGTTGAAGGGCCGACAATGACGTCCACAGGAGCGAAGAGGAATGGGGTGGACGTCGGCCCAGAGGAGCGTCGGCTCTGCAGCAACACTACTGTGAAGAGTGACTGCAAAGTGAGCAGACGGTGTGCATAGATTATGTGCCAGTGTTCGGTCTGTTTTATACGATCGCGGTCAAGGTCATTCAGAGTTGCGATTAAGCGAGGTCGGGGGGTGATGCAAGTGATGGCAGCTGAGCCAAGCAGATAAGCCACATGGACGGGGAACAATGGCAGTTAGAGGCAACGAGGAATCATCGAGATGCGGCGACGGAGCGGAAGGGATGTAGGTATTGTGAAGGCCAGCGACTGGACTAAGATCCTTCGTAAGATGGTAGTATGTCGAGATAGCGAGATTCGTCACGACGAGAGGTATAGTCGAGGTTGGGACCGAAGAATATGTTCCTGAGGCCACCAAGGCAGTAGTGGTTGGAGAGAGGAGAGAGCGGGGGGAGCAGCGGATCTTCTCCCAAAAGGGAAGAACAGTAAATTAACAGAAGAGTGGTATTTATTCCACGAGCGAGAATTGAGGAAGGAGGTGAAGAGGAGGAAATCTCAAAGAAGAGGAATAAATAAAAATAGAGAGTGATGATAGTTTCTTCCTAGAGTATGTACCTAAGACCTAAGAAACAATCCATCTACCTAATGGAAGTACCTGATCTAGACGTGGAGTAACTCTTTTCTTCCCTGCTAAGGTACCTTATTAATGACCAATCCGATAAAGGAGTGGCACTGGTCAGCGCTTCTAAAGTTGGACCGATGCACGTGACCCTGGTCTGGACCCCCTTACTTCTTTAGGTTGTTCTTGAGGACGAAGGAACAAAAAAGTGACACCAGTGATGGTGATGATTGACGCTGCCTTATTCTGCTTACCGATGAATCTTGCTGAATGGCTCACTTAAGCGTTATCTCGCTACCGAGTCCGAGTTCGAATATGTCACATTCTCCATGAGCTTCCTCTGTATCTTGCCAGGTGGTTTACTCAAGAGTATGCCTTCGTCGACTCAGGTCTGTCCAGTATCCTTGTCGTTGATCATTAGTACCATGGATCAGTCCATCAGAAAAGGGGCTAGTAAGCTATCAACGGCCTCGATGAACTAGTGATCAAGTTACACATCAATGATTATTTGCTCAAGTCCAACCACTACTATCTTGTCTCAGTCATCCCCAATTATCCAAGGTCCTTTCTCCGTCAGTACGCAGGGGCAAAAGTCTACGGCGTTGATGGTATCCACAGAGTATAAAATCTTCAATAATGCTCGATGTTATTCATGATAGGCGCTGTCAAAAACCAATAGTGCCGGAGGCCTATACGTTTTGGGCCTAAGAGAGTCCCAATGCTCCGCAATCATCGTGCTAATATTGCATTTCTATTCTGGGCTATTCTCTGATGCCTCTTTACTTGAGATTCTTTTTTTGACTATTGACTCTCTTTTGTGCGCTAATTGACTACAGAGCAAGGTTCTGTCTGGTTTATGAATTGGCTTGGTCTTTGGTTGACGGACCTCGACGTCTCTGTGCTCCGGGCAGTGTCTCTCTAGTGCAGAGTACAGATGAATCAGCAGTTCGCAAGTTCGCCTAGTCAGCGGTCCAATCCTTCTCCAGCGTGATCGGTAGGTTCCTCCGTGAGGACCAAGGTATTGTGATATCAACCATAGCAGACGTTGCATGAGCATGTGGTGCGCCTTGGCTGTCAACTGGCAAGAGTGAGAGCAGCATGATATATATTCATTGTTCACTATTGAACCTGGTCTTGTATCCATTGACAATCTCCCCAACAAAAGCAAAGAAGCTCTGTTACTATCTTACAATTACTTTTATTGTTTCCATTGACTCGATCAATAACAATGACCTGTGCAATAGATCCATTGTATTGTCCATAGAAATTTCAATGCAACTTATACCCACTCTGGCGCTTGGGTCCGTTCAAAGCGCCAACAACGAATGCATAATGCATACAGCTTCTGGAGTGTATAATTGTCCATGCGTTGATAGATACTCGAAAGCCACTGTTTAATGCTTATCGTCAGAGCCCAGAAATGTACCTTATCATGAGAGAGTCACCGGCCGTGATACCTGAGGCCCATTTTGCAAGTGGGAATTCAAACCCCAGATAAACTGCACATGGATTCGAAGATCGACAATTTTGACGATGATGATGATGCTAAATATGATCCATACTGCTAGTAGTAAACATTGTCAATTG